TATAATAATGTAATAAATTCATTTAAACAGAAATTGCGGCAACATTATTTAAATTTGTAACTTTTTTACTGTCCTTCTCCATTTTTCACATCTTTCTGTTATATCCCTATAGTTCTCTCTATATTTTCTGTTTTTCTTACTTTCAATTTGAGACTGTACTTATAATTTGATTATCAGATCATTATGTATTTATTAGATATTAACTATTATATTATGCATAAAAAATATTTGTAATAATAAAGAAAATACATTTAAAATGTTTTACTTGTTGTGTTAGTTATTTATAAGATCTTACTATAATTGTTAGCTGCTTTACAATTTAGAAAGTACAATAGGTAATGTAAATTAAAATTAATTGAATACTTAACAACGTTTTGTTCGATTAAATTCATTTAATTATTAAAATAGTTAATTTAAAATTAGAATAAAGACAAAAAAAAAATAAAAAAAAAAATCGGTGGCGGGAATCGAACCTTGAGCGTCCGTTTGGTAAGTTGATTTGAAATTCAAAGGCTTATTTCTTCGAAATTACTGGTCATTTTGAAATAATACTTAGGGTTCGCATACCCTTATCGGATACTACTACTACACGGAGTTTCGTCAAAATAAAATATCTAGGTTAGGTATAATAAATACATAATTAATAGACCGTTACGGTATCTGTATATATTCGGATCAAAACAAGTACTATGAAATAAGAACGAGTATATAAATTGATTAACACAAGTAATTGATTTTTGAAATATATTCAGAGCCAAAGTCTTGTTTCTTTATTTATGTACTTGTTAGATGCGACAGCGACTTTGTTTTATACTATACTATGTAATGATTGATATACCTAAAATAAATAAAATATCTGAGGTTTGGACAAAAACTCAAAGGGTAATTTATTTTGAAAAAGTATTTTGAAAATACCTATTTTGCTTTTAGTGTTATAGTACTTTAACTGTTATGTTTTAAGTAACAATGTTTAATTATAATTAATACTACTGCACCAACACTCCGATCGTGCAAAAAAATTTGCTGTTTCATTATTTTTTAGTTCAATTAGTGGTCTACCTAAGTCCTGGGCTAAGGGGGAGAGTCATGACGCCCCCATGACTCCCATGACCTCCATGACGCTCCCCCTGGATCCGCCGTTGCGTCTTCTCTTTATTCGCTCAGTAACTTTGTTACAAAAGAAAAGATTCCCGTCCAAAAAATAATAAGTATTGAGGTTTGATCTGGAGTCACGTTACTCCAGACTGATTTCTATAAATATTTAGATTAGATAGACTATTATTCTTGAAATACTAGCTAGACATTATTAAGTTACTGTAGCCATAATGTAGTAGCCCAAACGTGCCAATGAGGAAGCCCTTGGCAAATGCTGCACCCTGATTGGCCCGTTTGAATTGGATCAAGAACTGCTCGTATGCCAAAAAGGTGGATTTGTATAAAATCGTGTATAAATCGCTTAATTATTATTATTACTCGTCGTGACAGTTGTGGCTCAAAACGGATCAACATTTATATATGGTCAGCTGGCATTAGATCAACAAAAGGCCTCCGGATCAACAAGTGAAAAAGGATCAACAAAAAACTACCTATACGGCACGTCTGAGCCACAAAGTGCCCAAGGGGATATTTATATATATATATACTAGCTGTACCCGCGACTTCGTCCGCGTAAATAATGAAAAAATATTTAACTCAATTAACACAATATAAGTCAAATAAATAAGTTTCATCGTTTTAGCTTCAAAAATGATAAAAAGTAAAAATAAATATTTAATCAATAGGCTAAAAAATAAATTTCAAACTTCTAGCTTTAAATATGACGATACATCTATATAACCTTGGATCTACCCTTTTAATCCTCTTGCAACCCTTTTTCACATTAAAAAGTAACCTATGTCCTTTCTCAGGATCTAGTCTATCTATGTCTGTTTCAAATTTCAATTTAAATCGGTTCAGTATTTTTGGCGTGTAAGCGAAACAAACAGATAAAGTTACTTTCACATTTATAATATCAGTAAGGTATTTAATAAACTAACCCTAAAAAGACAAAGAAAAAAGTTTAATCGTTCTAGCTTCCACAACCACACAAACAGCAAATTTCCACAATAACTTTCATTCTCTATTTTATTTTACTACCCCCCTCCCCCTAAGAGTAAACATTTTACAAACATTGAATATCATATTTATTGATATTTAAACAACAGCCTAAAAATGAGTCTCAAACTTCTAGTTTTAAAAAATGACGATTCTTCCATACAGCCTACCATTGCAACCCCCTTACAATCCTTTTTTCACATTCAAAAGTACCCTATATTCTTTGTCCGGGTGTAAACTAACTGTGTACCAAATTTCATTTAAATTTTTATTTTGTTTTGGAGCGTAAGACTGACATAAAGACAAACAGAGTTACTTTCACAGTTATAACATTAGTGGGGTTTTTAAAAATCTACCCCAAAAGAACCAATGAAAATAGTTTCATCGTTCTAGTTTCAAAAATTACGAATTTACATAATAACTATCATCCCCTACTTTATTTTACCCCCTTAAGGGTAATTTTTTTACAAACAATGAATGTCATATTTATTTATATTTAATCAACAGCCTCAAAAATAAGTTTCAAGCTTCTAGCTTCAAAAATGACGATTTTACATAAAAACTTGCATCTCCTATTTTATTTTACCCCCTTAAGGGTATTTGTTTTTACAAACAATGAATGTCAATGTATTTATATTTAATCAACAGTCTCAACAATAAGATTCAAGCTTCTAGCTTCAAAAATGACGTGTTTACATAAAAACTTGCATCCCCTATTTTATTTTACCCCCTTAAGGGTAATTTTTTTACAAACAATGAATGTCATATGTATTTATATTTAATCAACAGTCTCAACAATAAGTTTAAGCTTCTAGCTTCAAAAATGACGAATTTACATAAAAACTTGCATCCCCTATTTTATTTTACCCCCTTAAGGGTAATTTTTTACAAACATTGAATGTCATTTTTATTTATATTTAATCAACAGTCTCAAAAATAAGTTTCAAGCTTCTAGCTTCAAAAATGACGATTCTTCCATACAATCTTTCATCCCCCCTTTTAACCCCTTACAACCCTTTTTTCGCATTAAAAAGTAGCCTATGTCCATTCTCAGGGTCTAGACTATCTGTATACGAAATTTCATTCAAATCGGTTTAGTAGTTTTGGCGTGAAAGCGAGACAGACAGACAGAGTTACTTTCACATTTATAATATTAGTTTTTGTCGCAGCACAAAAATATATTTTTATCGTTTCCGTACAAATAATAATTTTACAGTATTAATCTACAAACCAACATTTTGTTTCTTACAATCAGCTAAATAATTTAGTTCCATAATATATGGCATAATGAAAAGGTCATTTATTTTATAAAAAAGACAGTTAGTTTTTATTTTAGTGAAAAATAAGAAAATTCTATTTTGATACAACAACCATATATTTATTAATACCTATACTTTATTAATTTTGTGTTAATGCTTTTTAAATAAACACCCACACATTATTTCTGTATAACCTACAAAAATGGGTAAATAATTTAATTTCGGATAGTGCCACACCACAACATTCTTTAAAAAATGTAAATAATAAAATTTGAAGAAATTGTGATTGTACTGAACAACTTAAAAAGAAAACTTAATAGTTTTTTTTAAGTTGTTCAGAACAGGGAAACAACATTTGACATTTATTATTATTTAACATTGGATATTGACTTTAATTTTTGTAATTTATATTGTAAAACTTTAAGTTGGGCTAAACTGGGCTTGTATCCAGAGCCGTAAAACAAATTGATAAAAAAAATCGCCAAATTTGTCTCGCAATCGGCCAATTTCAGGTTTAAAGAAAAAACACATACACACGATATACGATTTTATCATAAAAAAGTGTCAAAAACAATATTTTCACTAAACGTCAACGTCATGTTTCCGGCAAGATCTTTCGTTTTACATTATGTTATCTGTGGTTTTGTTCTCTGTGATGGATACCTTATTGGCGCAAACGCACGCGATGTGTTGATTGGTTGTTAGCTAGTGAAATGAAAAGATGGCGAATGGCGCAAACGCACGCGATGTGTTGATTGGTTGTTAGCTAGTGAAATGAAAATATGACGAATAAGGATTCAACCGCATAAAGATAACCTTGTATTTCCATTTTGAACCCCTTACAACCCTTTTTTCGCATTAAAAAGTAGCCTATGTCCATCCTCGGCGTCTAGACTATCTGCGTACTAAATTTCATTTAAATCGGTTCAGTAGTTTTGGTGTGAAAGCGAGACAGACAGACAGACAGACAGACAGACAGACAGAGTTACTTTCGCATTTATAATATTAGTAAGGATATATATATATATATATATATATATATATATATATGTATGTCTATTAATTGGTTTGATAATTCTAGTGTCTTGTGTGTGCCATCTACCTCTTCTGTGTATGTTAGTCCTATCTTGCAGGTTGTCTGTAAGAAATTGCTTATAGCGATAAGACCGCCTTTTGTTCATAATTTTCTATTTATTGTTTTTTTCTTTTTCTTATTGTATTTCTTCTATGTGCACAATAAAGAGTTTATTATTATTATTATTATTATTATTGTTAGTAATGTGGACTCATGACCCCATTGCTAGCAATGTACCATGTCAGGTCGACCTCCACGCGGTTCCCCCTGGAAACCATCGTGATAAATTCCCGGTGAATTTGTCACGTTGGGCTAACTGATCTGACTTCATGTTCATCTTATCATCCTCCACTGGTGCCCCGCCAGCGTAAACCATTAGCGCAGGCAGACGCTTGATTCCATTATCATCCATAAAAAAAAACCTTAACATTTTAGATATTTTTTTATATTCTAAATATCGTTTCAGTGGGGACTGGGGGCCCTTTCTATCGTCGGGGCTCTGGGCTGCAGTCCAAAAAGCCCTTAGGTAGATCAGGCCCTGCAAGTGTAGGTACAAGTTTTATCGGACTTACTTATTTTTGTGGTTGAGTCCGTTCTGCCAGATGAGTTGCCCATCGGTGGTGACGCTGTCGTACCAGATGAGGACCGGCTCCGGCAGCTCCTGGTGCAACATCTTGTGCAGGCAACGCACAAACTCCAGCAACGCAGCCGGCTTCGTGACCTGTACGTCGCGCGATCAGTGGAGAGAAATTACTGTTAGTAATATTAACTATTTATTTACATTACAATCAATTAAATTTATGATTATTTAAAAAAGCAACACAAAAATTCAAATTCAAAATTGAAATTCAAAATATCTTTATTCATGTAGGTCTATTACAAACTCTTATGATATGTCAAATCTACCGTCAGTTCGGAATGATTTCGAGATGAGAAGAACTGACAAGAAACTCAGCTCGTTTTTTTTTTAATGTTGTACATATTTACAATAATACTATTTCATTTAAATTCAAATTTGGAAGAATAGAGTGACCACCAGCATATGCTATATAAAAAAAAATAAAAAAATCTAATCCGTGTTCGCAACCTGAACAGACCAGTCCCCACAATCAGCACCCGTTCACGAGTATGACGGATGAGCCAGCCATCATTGCACTCAACCATATTAGAGGGAGCACATCGACCCGGCCCACCACGCCGCCACAAGTTTGAACTTTATAACGAGCATGACTGTTTCAAGTTACTCCACTACGTCATTTATATTATTTACAGCATAAACTGTACCAATCACAGTTTTCACCCATTACAATATTTAATTTACATTATTTAAATTACAATATGTCATTACTACATTTAGAATAAGTTTCTTTAGCGTTCATTACATTATCTATGTCAATGGGAAAGTTATATACCTCATAACAAAAGTTAAAATTGTAATTAGTGTGTTTTATCTTTCTTGTGACATCTAATTGAGGAATAGATTAAATAAAAATAACTATCCTCGAAATGTCGTTCTTCTTGAGATATCCTATTGAGCGGTTTTTTTTGTGGATGATAATGGAATGGTGCACCAGCCTGCGCTAACGGTTTACGCTGGCCGGGCACCAGTGGAGGCTAAGATGAGCATGAGGTCAGGTGAGTTAGCCCATCGTGACAAATTCACCAAGAATTTATCACGATGGTTTCCAGGGTAGGTCAACCTAACATGGTACATTGCTAGTAATAGGTTCATTAGTCCACATTACTAACAATCCTATTTCCCCCCTATTGAGCGGTAGATTAAATAAAAATAACTATTAAGATTATTTTAAACAGATTTTCTATTTTATCTGTCTATCTAATCTCAAGCCAGATCTTGTATGAGATAGGCAGGGAGAATCTATTTTTAAAATCACTAGTATCCTGACGACTTAGGCGTAATGCCGGTTAGTCAGGGAGAGAAACACCTCAATGCCTACAATATTCACAATTATCTATCTCTTATTTGTTTTTATAATAATATCAACACTTTCGCTCCAAAACTCCCGCTGCCTCTGTTCAATCGTCCGTCATCCACTTGTCAATGTCACATAGATTACTTTGGCTCTGGCCTCTGACGTTCCGTTTCAGGTTACATGATTATTGACTTTACCATTTTTAATTAATGGTGCGTCACACGATAGTTAACAGTCGGCCATCCTGCAATAGTGTCTGGCCCAGACACATAGGTAACTGATGAGCGTAGTCATGCTTATCAAAGGATATAGTGTCTACAGGATCATATAACAAATACTTAACTAAATAAACTAAAGATACACATTACTTTCATAACATTGACTATCTTAGTATACTGTCAAAGGTTTACAATCTAAAATCAATACTAACAGAGCTAAGTTTCGGCATGCATTCAGAATGCACAAAATATAACATAACATATATTAATTTACATAATCCAAATCACCCAAAAACATGAACAACCTTTTAGAGTAACAAACAATTATTTGGCGGTGATTGACTTCTATGAGTCAGACTGTAACATATCACCATCACAATGTAAGTTTCCGATCTTATGAACATTGCATTTTTTTTTTATACCTCCAAAATAGAACTTGACATTTCTCATCATGAATATTTTAACGGATAAATTTAACATATCACATTACAAAAGGTAAAACTTAATTACCTACATATATAGAGAAAAAAATATAAAGAGAAAGTATTATTCTCGTGACATAAAATTAGAACAAAATCGCTGCCTGCCTTCACCTCACCAATAGAAAATAACAGGTCAATATTATTCAAGTGGTTCTAATACCCTCAATACTACTACTACTATTTTACTTCGACGATACTCTTGATTTACCAGAAAATTATTTTAATATAACATAATTCATTGAATTTCAGTTATGATTTACTTAACAATACCATCAGCTCACTGGTCAAGTAATCTATTGCACCCTTTGAACCCTGTACATTTAGGGAACTATAAATGATTGTAGATACTGATCTCAATTTTCTTTACAACACCAGTTTAACATAAACCAAAAACCACTGTTCCAGATTAATGTGAAATAGAAATAATCTTTATTCAAACAAACTTAATATAAGCACTTTTGAGTAGTCAAGATTTTTGAATCTATCGCTTATTCGGAACGCAGATTCATCACAAGAAGAATAAACAAGAAACCTGTGTGTTGCTCTTTTAAATAAATATTGATTTACTTATATTTAATTAACAACAAGGATTAGGCGTGCGGCAATCAACATAAAAACCGCTACGCACTTAATCTCCGTTCAATCAGACAACATTGACAGCGCTATGAATTTCAAGTTAGATATTTTCTAAAAAAAAACACTGATTTATAAATGATGACATTTATAAATTTTATAATAAGCTTTTTTTTTTTTAAAGAAAATATTTTATGACACATTTGATTTCTTTTTCTGGCAAATTGAGTACAGACTCTGGGAATTTGTTGTAAAACCTTGCGCAATTTCCATAAAACGAATTACTAACTTTCGTCAAACGAACGTGAGTTTAGTAAGCCTACTATTCACTTTATATTTTATCGATGGTATTCGTAGCCACTTCGGCCATCCAACGTTGTCGAAGGGCCTCATTCGATATTATCATAACAGTTAACATCGGGTAATATAATAAAATTAAAATCATATAAAATTTAGTTTGAGATACTTTACATACTTAAAATATGAAAGTTGCCACTGACAACTACACATTACATTTCAACATCATGAATTCAGTCTTTGTTATATTTTTCCGCCTTAAGTTGTATCACTTAATTTTTCACACCAGGTACTAGTCAGCATCTCTGCAAACACGGCTGCCTAGCTAATTAGTGAAATACCTGTTAAAACAAAACATTAAAAAAATGCCACCGCTTGCCCACTATGACTACGGTCTCAACAGATCTGGATTTTATTAGACTCAGCCACCGCTTGCCCGCACAAGGAGCTACGGCCTCAAACTGGTCAAATTCTCATTAGACTCAGCCACCGCTTGCCCACACAAGGAGCTACGGCCTCAAACTGGTCAGATTCTCATTAGACTCAGCCACTGCTTGCCGCCACAAGGAACTACGGCCTCCAACTGAAACACATCAAATATTTAACAACTGGTCATTTTCTCAATGAGGCATTCACCGCTTGCGCACGCAAGGAGTTACGGCCTCCAACTAGTCATATTCTTTATGGTACTATGCTATTTTTACTTCAGCCTCAAGTGCTCTACATTGCAACTCAACTATGGGTTATATGCACTCCCATCAAAATTTACTATTACTTTTTATTCTATTACATATCTTTAAGAACTGGATTTCCTGGTTCCATTTTACTATTTCTCCAACGCTTTAAAGGACTTTATAACATTTAATCATAAGTTAATTCAATTTAATTATGTACCAAATTCGAATTATATATCTGGTTGATATATATCTAGTATCTACCAATTTCTGAACGAACATACAATATATTACTACCACACACCCTACTCCTATTATTATCTACCAAATCTTGAGTAGCATCAACAAAAAGCGAGTCGTTCGTTGTACGTCGCATTGAGCACACGCGGATCCCCATTTTCTCCGTGAACTAACGTATACGGAACCATCAGCCGCGATCTCAGCGCAATCATCTCATCAGTATATCATCAAATCTAAATCACCATCATTTACCTTAAAATCCATAAATCGTATTCATAGTCATATGATTATTATATTAATCTCATAATTTCATCAAAGTATTGCAAATCATTTTTCATTGTCATATCAACCGCCCGTTCTATTAGCCATTTTGCTCATAATTCAGCTTGTCATCGATTGTAACTCATCATTGTATCACTAGCATTCCTTAATCTTTCAGATCTATTCGTTCATGTACAACTCTTCACCGCGTATATTTACCGACTATTTTCCATAGAGGTGTATCAAATTTTACCTTGTGATCGTCCTTACTACAATCTTGCAGTGTAACTATCTTGTACACCTCGAGCGCTTTATTCATAATATTTCTAAAGTGTCTGTATACGGTGTCTGGGTTCTATAAATTAGCACCTCTTCTAATTTCTCATTAATTACAACAGACACATAAAATCAATTCTGAAAGGATTAATTTCAATTTAAACTATTTAGTTAGTACAATAGTCAATCCGATTTCTCCAAAGGGCGTTCAGCCACACATACAAGTGCATATAGGTGCTCAGACTAATCTATGGAATCAAATGCCCAGCATTTGATTGCGTTGATCATTACTTATAAAAATTTTAACTTCCGTCGTCGTCAAAGACAACGCTTTAAATTTAATTCAATCTTATTTATCTGATCAATATCAACCAAATATTTGAAAACAACATCACCGTTATTATTATAAACTTCCAATATCTCTACACCTGTAATTTTGTACAATTCAACATTAAAACACCCTCACTTATTTAATACATCCGTTCTCGTATGCTATGCAAGTGACAACATCAATTCTTATATGTTGAAGAGTTTACTATTAAAAGTCTTAGTTAACACTTTTATTTTACTTCAACTCAACAGTTATGTCAAAAGTGACAATGGTCTAAATACAACACATCCAATCTCATATTCCAGTCAATTGAGTCAACATGTATACCAACAATTCTTACATGCTCGTTAATTTAGCATTATACGCTTCGATTATACTCTTTTTTTTTTTTAACCAATTAAAATCTTAATAGATACAATATCTCAAGATTTAACAAAGGTTAACTAGAAATTAATAAAATTGGCAAAACCATCTACAACAGTAATTTATAACTGTAAACTGTAATCTATTGTTAACAATATTTAACTTTCATTTATATCCTCTAGTAACTTTTCTTATATATTCCTGGGATTAAATTGACAGATATAGCCTTACTTCCACAACTTATATTGTCTCTCATTTTATTTGCATTGGATATAAAGGTCTCTTAAAACAGTTATAGGTTCAATAGGATTCTTTCAACTTAAATCTAGTATACCCATGTACACTTTTCAAAACTTTAATGCTCATACATTTAACAACAATTTGTTTTTGTTTTTCTTTTAACTACCTGTGCTTCTTAAATTTGTATTCACTATAATACCATTATAATTAAAGAACAATGGCTCAGCTCGCAAACATTTTCTCAACAAATAATTCTCTATAACATGTAAAACTTACAACTTAGACCATGCAGTATTTATTTTTCATTCTACATATATGCTATTCATAAAGTAGTTTATTATCCATCAGTAAACCATATAAAAATCTCATAAATTACGCCAGTATCCATATTCATAAACCAGCTCGTCCATACTGACTATCCATGTCTCTCTCTATGGAAGTTTGCATCCAGTCTTCTCCTGCTGTTTCCTTTTTTTTCTTATGTCATCTGCTTATCTTTTTTTCTGCTGTCCTACGTTTCTTTTGTCTGTCGTCTCTGCCATTTTCTTATATATATATATATATATATATATGGCTTATAAATTTTTCATTTCATTATATGGCGTCCTACAATCCAATCAATCACAATACTATTTAAATGTTAAATAGGCATTACTATATGTATTTATACCTGTACATATGATACAATTTTCTTTTGAATTATTACTATTTATATATTTTTTTCTTCTATAAATTATACTGATACTGTGCTTGTGAATCACTGTTCATCCCAACGGATACCAACATCTCACTTTCAATCTAAGTTACATTTGCAGTGATTAACTTGTGTTCACAAGATATTGAGGATTTTTCCTATTCTTTTTTTTTATTTTTTTACTTATATATTCCATGTGTGTCATAGCTATACCGAAATCACCATGCACTGTCCTCTACAGTACAGTAGATTCACAGAAGATAATTGGAAGCTTGCCACAGTATAGAAGTGCTATCTTCATAAAACCGACTAACTTCAGTCTCATCCTCTTTGGTAACAAAGTTATATTAAATAAAACAAACCACATGCTTATAAAGGCATAGCATAAAACACCAACAATCAGGAATTCTCATAAATATATAACGGTTGTATAGAATGGGAACGAATTTCCATGCATGGACAATTATGCAGCCTATTAATAACCACATTACCAAGGTCATCAGCAAAGTTTTCTAGAATATCCATATCTCTTTACTTTCCTAACAATCTTGTCTGTCTGTGTCTCATAATTTTCCTCTATAATAATTTTAAAGCTGATGTACTTTGAATATCTTAACATTGCCTCCCACAGAGACTATTTAATAATAACTAATTAATATACAGAAACTTCATTAGTCAAATCATAAAATATTTTATAATCCTGTAGTCTACAAATACATAGAAGGTAAGTTACATAAACCATTTAAAAATAGTATCCAATTTTTCCTTTCTCCTCTATTTCACCATATCACAGTTTACATGTATTCACTTAATTCTCTCCCATCTGTCCATACCTATATACAACAAGAGTGCTATGCACTCATTTATTTCCATTTTCCTGCCATAATATCTGAATTATAAAGTTTATTATCCAAATTTCACAATTCTAGACCACACTGTTTGACACAATCCATGTGCTAACTTCAAGATGAGTTCATTATTAACTCATGAATGCTTTAAATCAGTTATTATCATATTCTGATATACATTTATTTATATTAATATTCAATAATATATTCTACTTGTTTATTTTTTTTTATTATCTGTACTTCACAAATATATAATACAATTTGAATTTAAACAATTATGATTTCCTCCTTGGTTCACATTTCAATTCCAATACAGATTTAACAATGAATCTGTCCACTTTATAGTTTCTTAGTACTGTCATTCTACAAATGACACTAAATAATAAAACTCAATGGATAACTTAAGCTCAGATCCTTGCAGCAAATCTTCAGTTCATTAGCTTATGCACTACACAAGATTGGACAATATAGCAATACATTGCAATATATTACAATAGTCTATTTTCATTATTGTTATAACAATTGTCGTATGTTGTACATATTCATATTATAAAATCATGACATTTTGTGCAATTTACTGTATGGAGAGTTATAACTCATCAAAAGGCAAATACTCTCACTGTTGCGACTCAATATATATATCCAAACATTTTGTATGTACACAGATATTAACTTATTTCCAAAAACTTTTATTCATATTCATAACACTAATAGTAAATTTAAAGACAAGCTTGTTGCTCAAGTATTGTTTAGAAAATTCAACAGGTTTCTTGTACAATCAATAATACAATCAAGAGCCAACAACATTCATTTCTGGAGTTACCAAAAGCTTTTCTTTAGGTTAAAAGACAACTTCATAAATTATAAAACTGAACCATGTAAGAATAGTCTTACCTGTAATCTATCACTTTCTAACATGTCACATATTAATGTGGTGCTTATAAATTCCAACACTCACTTACTAAACATTGTCTCAAATGACAGATGTACATAGCTACAGGTACCTGCACAGGACCTTTAAGTACCTTTATTGATCAACAATGGCTGCTAAGGGCCATTCTAATGAATTTCAAGAGAAGCATCAAAGAAGTGAACCAATTGCTCAAACATATAATACATTCAATCTGAGCATACATGTAATATATAATTCCAGCATAATATGACACCTTTGAGGAATTGGATATCATTTCTAGGTGCTTTTTCAACACATTAATAATCAATATCATATGATTATGATAACCTTGAGGATCCTAATAGATCTCAATTGGATTTTATACTAAATAATGATTAAATAAGGAACTATTAATAATAATAGTTTACAGTTATTCGGTTTTTTAACATTGGAGTTTACTACCAATTGTTAGCCATTGCTATATATATAAAGTTCAAAACACAGCAAGAAATAAATATAATAATTGTACTATCAGAGTTAAGTACTATTTTCACTGAGAGCTTCACAGCTAATCATGAGATAGCATCTAAAATGTCTTTAATATCTAATATTATGAAATATAACATGTTATGTTGCTGGTATCAGTTTATGTCAACAATATACTGTGTCTATCTATATTAATATGCTTTATTAATTCATTAATAAACACATATCAAAGTATCAACCAATATAATATATATACATATGACAGTGTCTCAATTTGGGAATATAACCACCATCAAGACATATACCTGGACTATGCCTGTGATTGTCATTTATCTGAAATGGGATCATCAAACATATATGTGTACCTATGTAAAGAAATAATAACAATTCTTCAATTCAATTCATGTAGAACAAACACACAAAACTGAACAGTAAGTTTGACTAATTTACTGTGAATTAGCAATAAACTCAGCAATACCATTACACTGTTTATATGTATAACATGGTATGTGTTCTCATGTTCAACCTGTATGTCAACATAGTTAATGTAACTGTTTCTAATCTGTTGATATCCTATCATACTCTATCATAGGCATTAATAACATAACAATAGTTACTCTGTATTTTAAACTAATTAGATAGCCATGTTGTTCTATACTTAATGTATTCATAATACTTCTTTCTTAGGTATATTGTATACCTCAATATCGTGCTACATGTCATGTCATTACTCTCGCAAGTTATCGTACATACTAAATCTATTTAATATGTAGAAAGCAATTCATCCAAAAGTTCAATAAAACAAGTGAGAAACTGCGTTTAATGGTATGCGTGTTATTAACGTAAATTCACTTACCACAACTTCTAGTCAGAATTACCTTACAGTCGAATTTGTAGGCGGGATTGGTACCGCTTCTGAACTTTTAAAATCACTAGTATCCTGACGACTTAGGCGTAATGCCGGTTAGTCAGGGAGAGAAACACCTCAATGCCTACAATATTCACAATTATCTATCTCTTATTTGTTTTTATAATAATATCAACACTTTCGCTCCAAAACTCCCGCTGCCTCTGTTCAATCGTCCGTCATCCACTTGTCAATGTCACATAGATTACTTTGGCTCTGGCCTCTGACGTTCCGTTTCAGGTTACATGATTATTGACTTTACCATTTTTAATTAATGGTGCGTCACACGATAGTTAACACTATAGTCATCAGAAATATTCACATACACACACACACGTCATTTACAGTAGAAACAAATTCTTAGTAAATAAATAACCCTAGAAGAGCGAGCGTCTCCTATCAGAAGTATTTAATTATGCTTACAAGGAGATCCTGGGATCTCGGCTTAAGAAAATATATAAATATAATATTTATTTATTTATTTACAATTGCACATGCATGTACATAAATTTACATATGATAAATTAGCAATACACATGGACTCTGTTTGAAGAGTATGACAATTTCTTAGATGACTCATTCCCAAAATGAAATTAAAAATTTAGATCTGTTGTAGTGTTCACTTAGCTCCTATACATACGTCTGTTAAAAATTATTTTACTGTAATAACCTTCTTGGTATGTGATACTATGTAAAAGATATTGGTTAATGAAATAAATTTATCATTATTATATTAGAGTATACCTTATTTTCCACGTTGAGCAGCCAGCCGTCAAATTTCAAAGTTTTCGCAATGGCCACTAGCGCGCTCGCGAGCTCCTGGTACTGAGTTTCGGATGCCAGCATCTTGTCCCAAAATGCAACTCCATCGGACCACTCTGTTATGATGGTGCCTGAGGATCAGATGGAACAGGTGACTATCACTTCCTAGCCCTAGACTACCCTATACTACCCAGGCCCTTTCCCTACTGGGCACACTGGACACGTTCCTAGGGCCCCGCGATGGATCAGGGCCCCCTAGTCTAGTCCCTACTCCATTACCAAACAATAACCGATAGCTACTTTACTCTCACCTGAAAATCAGTCTTAACAAACACTTACCGACTATGATCAATTTGCTCGTTTTTGTTATTTTTTTATAAATGTCTAGCAAGAACTTGAACCTCATTACATAACGACTTTTTAAAAATATTTTTTCCTGGTTTGTTTTGACGGTAGGGCATCCCTATATATTTCTTTAAAGAGTCATGTTCAAAACTGACTTTGTCTATTCTAACAAAATAGTGCTTTATTACTACTGGTCATAGAGGTCCCATTATCCTATTGTGCTCAGCTCTAATACGTGAAAGATGGGCCTGTTTTCACCATCGTACTACCCGCCAGAAACTAAATTACTATCCTAAACTCTGGATAAATGACGGTCCCCACCGTGCGTTTTTCTAGAAACTTCCGGCGCATAACCACATAGTAAAATCGCCTTCCAGCAATGGTGCGTTTTTCCAGAAACTTTCTGCCACGCACAACTACATTGTGGAATCACCTTCCAGCAATGGTATTTCCGAACCGATACGATATTGAAACCTTCAAGAAAATAGCTTATTTCTTCGTAAATGGCCGTCAAAGCACTTGCAATTCCTTCACAGTGTTGCGGGGGTTTATTGGCAGTGGTAATAACTTAGCGTTAGGTGACCATTTGTCTCCTAAGATTCAAATTTCAAATTCAAAATATCTTTATTCATGTAGGTCTATTACAGACTCTTATGATATGTCAAATCTACCGTCAGCTCGGAATGATTTCGATATGAGAAGAACTGACACGAAACTCAGCTCGTATTCTTTTCAAATTAATATTATAGGTACATTTTTCAAACTTGGGAGAATAGAGTGATCACCAGAGTCCTATTACAAAAGCAAATGGTCTAATCTGTGTTCGCAACCCAAACAGACCAGTCCCCACAAGCAACACCCGATCACGAGTATGACGGATGAGCACCATCACTCAACCACATTAGAGGGAGCACATCGACCAGGCCCACCACGCCGCCGCAAGTTTGAACTTTATAGCGAGCATGACTGTTTCAAGTTACTCCACTACGTCATTTATATTATTTACAGCATAAACTGTACCAATCACAGTGTTCACCCATTACAATATTTAATTTACATTATTTTTACATTATATAGTCATAACTAAATTTACTATAAGATATATAAACTTAATCATAATTTCTAGGCTCATTATGTCAACATTACTTATTAATATAATACTACAAAATACTTTTCGGTACTCATTGTCTATCAACTATAATAAGAATAATAATCTCAAGACAATTCACACAGCGCCATCTAATCCCAAGTTAAGCTAGCTTAAGCTTGTGTTATGTGTACTAGACAACTGATACAAATACATAGATATATTTTTCTTTTCGTAAATACATACATATTACACATAGAAAACACCCAGATCGACACAAACAATCATACTCATGAAATACAAATGTTTGTGCCGTGCGAGGAATCGAACCCGCGACCATCGGACGTAAAGCGGTGTGCTAAATCACTAGACCACCGAGGTCGTCAAAACTATGCATATATATATATATATATATATATATATATATATATATATTATAACTGTTTGTACCAATATAAATTTTAAAACAAATGTGTCGTACCAATAACTTTGACCCCGTGTTGGTGTCCCACGTTGATCCAGCCGAGAGGCGGTATGGTGATGAGATGGTGGCTGAAATAGCAGAATATGTCGACCCCCGCCCAGTTGTAGAATGTATACGCATCATGGTTGCCCGTACCGTCGGTAACACTGCAAGTGAATCCTTACTAATAATAAAAATGCGAAAATTACTCTGTCTGCCTGTCTGTCACGCTTTAAAGCCAAAACTATTAAATTGATTTAAATGAATTTTATCACATAGATAGTCCAGGTCTCATAAATGTGATAGTAACTGTCTGTCTGTCTGCCTGTCGCGCTTTCACGGCGAAATCGTCAGTATTTTGGCGTGAAAGCGGACAAAGTTGCAGGCACAGATAGTATTCTATAAAATCGATTTTTGGTAGAAAATATGTTTGTAATAAAAATGTTTATTAATTTATCATCGATTTTTTGTGTAGACTGTATTACCATCCCCAGCTATCGATAACCATAAACAAACAGAGTAGATAAATTGCTAATTGCCCGATTCGTTATCAAATAATCTGTGGTGTAACAGTCCGAGAAATTTGGTACAGAAATACTCAAGTGAGAATTTCAAACAGCTATAATCCAGGGCTATGAATGAATAAAAAAATAACTAAGTATTATTATAATATATACAATAGTTCTTAAAGGTGCAAACTCGTGTTAAATACAAATTTGAATCTTGCGTTGTTATTACCAATGTCTATTTTTTATTCATATTAGTACCTTACCTGTCATCGTGATATCCGTTGGCCATATCATGGCATACCAACGTCTTCGGTAAAATACTCTCATCATGTCGTGCTACATCTTCCGTATCCGGGTCGAAATGACAAAATATATGTGGGCTATCAAGACTCACTACATCTTGTTTGTTTAACTCAATATTCTTTATTAATTTTTTACTATGTGGCTGCAATTCTTTACAGAGAGATCTCCAAGACGGGGGATTTTCCAAAAATAACAGTATCTCATTGTATGTATCGAGCGGTTTGCAGGTTAATTCATCTTCCTTCCAAATGGACTTCACTTTCATTTTTAAATCACTTCAAATTAAAATAACATTAACAAACATTACACTAAATATTTCATTTTAAATTGTAAATAATAAAATTATACACTTTAGTGACTTAATAATATTAAACCAGATACGATGTGTTAATATTTGTCACTGATCTGACATTTTATTTTGACAGTATAAAATGGCGGGAAATGCAAATCCAATGTTATGAACGTGTGATGTGTGAAGCACAAGCGACTAAACTAATATGCCAGAATATCATGAATACTATTAAAACATTTACTTATAAAATAGGACACATGTCAAGGTTTCCTTGTGTTTACAATTTACATCGCTAAAATTGGTTACAGTAATGAATATTTCCGTGTATCATTTAAATCAGTCCAAACCACATCGCTGAATACAGCAATAAGGAATACAGGAAGTTTAGTATAATGATACCACAGATAATATATGATAATACCAAACTTCCTAAGACATGTATTGTTGCAAACTATTTTATATATCTTTTTTATGGTCTATATTTTTTATAAGAACTATATTGTTTTGTATAGAAATATAAATAATCTTTATTCAAATACACTCATTACAAGCACTTTTGAATAATCATATTTTTGAATCTACCACTCATTCGGAATGCAGATTCATCACAAGAAGAATGAGCAAGAACCTTGTATGTCTCTTTTGAATAGATGTTTTATATATATAAATATTTACAGTATAACAAGTAAGAGGCATGGGACAATCAATATAGAAAACGCTACGCACTCATTCTTAGTCACTATATATAACATTATGTGGATACAATATTTGCCAAATTTTGCCTTTTCTTTGCTAGTCTCGTATTCGATCTTTTTCCTTTAAATGTATTGTTCATTTCATTTTAATCGGTTTATAAAAAAAAGTTATAACTTCCAAATAATAATAATAAATATCTTCTCTTAAATGAAAATAAGAACGTCAGGGAACAACAATGTAGTTGCGCTATGGAATATTTTTGTAAACTGTGAGATCCTTATGCTCTACTTGTAATAGTGTTTGTAGGTCGGCAGGCGATAAGGGTTACATTGTTCATTGCCTAGGATATTTCCGTTGTACGGACGAAAACTAGATCATATTATTTTAATAGAATATTTAGTAGGTCTATATACTTTGTGATTATAGATCGCTGACCGTTAAATTATATTCTACGGGTGTTTGAAAAGACTTAATAACTCGGAACAATACTGTCCTTGGCGTAAGCACAGATAATATTGCGTAAGTATATTATCCTTAGGAAAAGACTATTAACTATATTCTCTCGAATATTCACTCAGAATTATAATCTTTGTAATGCAATTGATTTATTGAAGTATCGATACTCCAGATAAATACAAAATTAATTCACAACTAAACTTATTTGTATTTATTCATATAATTTCAATGAATTATTGATTTAAAAGTAAATATATTTGATCGAATTACAACTAATTCGATCGATTTTTCGATACTATTTTGCGAAAGTCAAGTAGGTCGTAGCATGATCGCGGAACAGTCAATTCTAGGCTTTCAATCTGAGCTCTATTCATTGCCTGATAGCGCTTGTTCAAAGACAAATCACGTCTCGCAATATGGGTATAGATCCAATAATGACTACATTTATGACGTACCTAGGATCTACATTTATGAAAATATCATCTATGCCAGGAAGAATATAGACAGTTTCAGAAGAGTTAGTTATTGCACCAATAAAAGCTTACGTAACAATAACAAACTGATTTTACCTAAATGTCCTTTGGCTAAAGTTAGTAATTCGTTTTATGGCAATTGCGTAAGGTTTTACAATAAAATACCAGAGTCTATTATTAATCTGCCAGAAAAAAGATTTAAATGTCAAATAAAACAGTTCCTTTGCAAAAAAGCTTACTACAAAATTGAAGAATTCGTTAACGATAATAATGTTTTTATAGAAAAACTTTAAATCCATAGCACTGACAATATTATCTGATTACACTAATAATGAGTGCGTAGCGATTTCTATGTTCATTATCGCATGCCTCTTATTTGTTATACTGTAATTATTTATATAAAAAAACATCTATTAAAAAGAGCAACACACAAGTTTCTTGCTCTTTCTTCTTGTGATGAATCTGCATTCCGAATGAGTGGTAGAATCAAAATATGACTATTCAAAAATGCTTGTAATGAGTTTATTTGAATAAAGATTATTTCTATTTCAATGGTCCGAATTTGATCGGTAATGTAAAATATATCCTTTACAAAATCTGCTTATATCAAGTGTAAAACGAAAAGCTAATTTTTCTTTTTCATCTATATAAAGATAATTTTTAATTGTTGTTTCTGAGTTTACACTTCGTTTATTGTAAAATTGCCTGAAAAATGTGACCAACTGTGACAAAGGCATGGGGAATCTAAAATCATGAAATTCTTGTAACGTAAATATGATACTATCTATTGGTAATGTGCTTTTCTGTAGAACTTGACGTTGTGTTGCGTATTTCAGTGTTCTCACTTTCTGTAATAAAAAATATTATTATGGCAGCCCTGATTTTGAAGTAATTGATTTTGAAGTAATTGTTTAATATTTACTGCTGAATGTTATGCTATATATGCAGCATTACAGCATATAAATAATATAAATGATGTAAATTTTATGATAATAACGGATTCGCAAAGTGCTTTAAATGCTCTACAAAATATATCTCTTAGATATAATTTAAACTATTTATTGTATAATATCAGACAAAATATTTATGATCTGAAAAACAACGGTAAGCAGGTAACATTCTTGTGGGTACCTGGTCATAAAGGAATTGCTGGAAATGAAATAGCGGATCAAGCTGCTCGGAATGTTCATAATGAAGACCACTCGAATATGTTTAAAGTTTCATTCACCGACTATTATAGCTCACTTAAAAATGCTCTAAAATTATTATGGAATAACTATTACATAAATATTGCTAACGATAAGGGAAAATGGTATGCCAAGATCCAAGGAAGCCTGCCCGCCAAACCTTGGTACCACAACAATAAAGACGTCGATAGCAGACAATTTATCACGACTATTAATCGTATGAGATTTGGTCATAATCAAACTCGCACTCACCTGTACAGAATGAAAATGGTTCACAACCCAAAATGTCCTCACTGCAATGAAGATGAAGATTTGAATTATATTATATTCAAATGTAGAAAATACGGACTCGACAGATTATTACTCATTCACGAGATTCAAGAGCATATTAATGAAGTACCGAAGTCTCTAGAAGAGATCTTATCAAGGCCTGCACTATTCAAGATTTTATATAAATTTATTTCTAACACTGGGAAGAAATTACAATTTTTTTTTAGGTTTTGTATTTTATGTTGGGCTAAGAAGGACTTGTATCCAGAGCCGTAAAATATTAAATAAAAAAAAAAGTAATTGTTTATTCAATACAATGAGTTTAAAAAAAAAGGCCGACCGTACATCAGAATTCGCTCTTCGCTGTGGTGGATTTCGGGGGTCTTCCTGATATTGGTAGGCGTGTGTTCCGATGTTTCGCGGTTTTTCGATACGACGGCGACGTGAGGAGAAGTTAGTGTCTCGCACTTTCTTCAGAAACCATTAAGATTCAAGAACACTGTACAAATACATTATTTTAACAATTCAAAACATAAAATAAACTAAGAAAATTATGAACATCAAAAACGTGCAGACATGGCTGTATGGACACAGTTGCCTTTGCCTTGTCGTTAAATAATAAACATAACCGAAAAAAGTCTAGACAAAAAATTGTAGGTTATCTGTGGTCAATTCAGTTAGTTTCAGTCGGTCAATTTCTATATACATTTCACTATTTTAAAGAAAACACTATATATGAAATATAGCGAATGATTTTGTTTTATGGAATTATTATAAATAAATTTTTTTAAACAATTATATAAAAAGTTTATCATGAAACCACGTAAAACTAATAAACGATCCTTTAATACGAAGGAAATAAAGTAGTTAAATAGTACATTACTTGGGTATTATTATTTAATACCGAATATTCAGGCATTACTAAATTGATAACTGAAAAACGACCTTTGTGTTGTTAAGTGCTAAAATAACTGCGGAGCAATGGCGAGGGCTTCACTGGAAAGTAGGATTCTTCACTTACGTATATGCTGTTTTGTAATGTTGATACTCTGCCTCATAGGCATAGTACAGATGTTTGCATCGTATGGCAAATATGATTATCCGCACACGGCCCGAGTAGATCTGTCGGACAAGCTATTCACAGGGGTCACTCCGTTTGTAACTCCTAAAAAGTCCGTGCCAGACTGCACCTATGACAAAGTACTGGAGAACAAAAAATCGTATCACCCTTCGGAAGTTGCTAGAAAACACGATAATTTCTCCCCGAAAGGTATTATGAATGGCAGCTATACCCCTGAAGAATGCAATCCGCTGTTCAGTGTTGCTGTACTGGTTACATACAGGAAGAGGCAAAATCAATTGGATACATTCGTCCCTTATATGCATGATTGGTTGAGGAAGCAACATCTTCATTATAAGTAAGTTTATGATTATTTACTTTATTTCTATAGTGCTTTTTTAGTTGTTAGTTTTTTCTGTAATGTTATAGTTTTCAGACGGAAGGGGATTGTTAGTAATGTGGACTAATAACCCTGTTGCTAGCAATGTACCATGTCAGGATAGCCTCCATGCAGTTCCTCCTGTAAACCACAGTTATGCCAAGAGGGGTTACTTGACCTGACCTTATGCTAATTTTATCATCCTCCACTGGTCTATTACACACATACAATAATGTTTTATAGAAAAACTTATAGCACTGACAATATTATCTGATTAAATTAATAATGAGTACGTAGCAATTTCTAAGTTGATTATCGCATGTCTCTTACTTGGTATACTGTATTATTATATAAAAAACATCTATTAAAAAGAGTAACACACAAGTTTCTTGCTCATTCTTCTTGTGATGAATCTGCATTCCGAATGAATAGTAGAATCAAAATATGACTATTCAAAAGTGCTTGTAATGAGTTTATTTGAATAAAGATTATTTCTATTTCTATCAGCATAAAGAGTTAGCTCTAATAGGTTCATAATGTGATTATCATCAATTTAATAAATGTTATATTTATCATATTTGTTTCTTTCATTACATGTTTTACTTAGAGAAGCAAGTATTTTAGGAAATTGGCAAACAAACTGATGGAAAGTGATGACTGTCACTTATATATGAACATTTTCATGGAACTCACAAAATAATCTATACATATAAATAAAATTGGAGTGTCAGTTTGTAAGATTGAAATAACCATTTTTTACTACATGCATATGAATATAAATATGGTACATACACCAAAATAACATTTTTAACAATTTTTATCTGTCTGTTTGTTCCGGCTAATCTCTAAAACTGCTAGACCTATTTTGACAGGACTTTTATTGGCAGATAGCTGATATAATAAGGAGTGACTTAGGCTAGTTTTATTTTAGAAAAATAAAGTTAAATTCCATACAGATAAAGTTGCGGGTACAGCACGTAATAAATAAAGTCTAAGGACAATTCACACAATGCTTTACTTGTAATCTAAGCAGAGCTTGTGTTATGGGTAGTAAAGAACTGTTGTAAATACATAGCTACTTCTTTTTTTATAAATACATACATAATAGACATGGAAAACACCCAGACTGATATAAACAATCATAGTCATGAATGCAAATGTTTGTACTGTGCAAGTAATCATACCTGTGGCCATCAGAAATGATTTTGACTATTGGAAGTAAAGTGGTGTTAAACTGCTAGATCACTGAGACCATCATTTGGTCTATGTTCAATATCATAAAAACATAGACTAAAATAGTCTATGTTTTTTAGTTGTTCCCAAACTTTTTTGAGTTGTAGACCCCTTGCCATACTTTTCGGTTTTGGGTAGACCTCCATTCTTACCTGATATTGATTTTTTTTGTAAATTACTAACTGTAGTAAAGTTTAGTGTTAAAAACATGAAGTAAACATAAAATGACCGCTGTCATAGACCCCTTGTAGTTTGTCATAGATCCCTTGGACACGTTTAGTCACGTTTGAACACGTTTAGACACGTTTAACATGTCAATATGACAGGCTCACCTGTGTTTACGTATCAGTGTAGACGACTGTATTTACATTTTTTTTAGTATTTTGAGTTTTTGTGCTATTCAAGCATTGGGTGTTGATATAGACCTCACTGGTTTAGTTCATCACTTTTGTTATAAAACTACATACCTCATTTAAGATCCTTTTTCTTTTTAAATGTCACTCTATCTGGGTTATTATAAAAAAATATATATACAATATATCTGATTATAGCCATAAGGCTAATGACAGATGGAAAGAGAAAGGGAAAAAAAAAACTATCTGGGTATCCGATGATTTAGCCAAATGTCAAGATTGGAACACAAAACATATATCACACCCATAGATTATAATACAAGACAAGATACTATTTAAAATATGCACCTTGTAAGTTTCCAGGATATATGTAATTGAACAGCAGGACGAGAAACCGTGGAATAAAGGCATGCTGTACAATATTGGAGCAAAATATGCCATAGCTGACAAGTTTCCATGTCTGATCTTGCATGACGTGGATCTGCTGCCACTGGATGAAGGGAACCTGTATGTATGCATGAAGGAGCCCCGTCACATGAGTGCCAGCATAGACAAGTTCAGATTTGTGCTGACATACGACACTTTGGTTGGTGGAGTGCTGGCGATGCGTTCCGAACAGTATCTGCTGGTGAACGGATTCTCTAATCGCTTCCAAGGCTGGGGTGGAGAGGACGATGATTTTGCGGAGAGAATACACTCCAGGAAATTGAGTATCCAGAGGTATGTTCTTAAATAAGATAAAGATAAAGAAGCCTATATTTCTGTACTATTATACATTTTTTTTTTTTTGTTACATTCATGTTCATTCATATTATTATATTATACTATAAATTTATTATTATTATATATATTTTTTTACTATTATTATTTGCACATTTGTTAAGTAGTTAAATTTTTTATGTTTAATTATTAATTTCATTATCTATATTATATCCCGCAGTACAGAGTGCCTTATTTATTTATTTAATTAACACAATATAAACTTACAGTTAATTGCCAACACGTTTATATTTTAAAACTATTTATACTACTTAAAATTATACGATGATAAAAATATTCTTATTTTAGTAATTATGGAAGGCAAGGCTTCTGTATAAACGTCAGCATCTTGGACCTTACCTAAAGATAAATTTAATAATTGCAATGCTCTCATAGTGGGTGAATTGCTAGCGTGGCTTATGCGTACCGACGCGGTTGCAAACAGTCGGACACGACGACAGGTGACACTTCTCACGTAATTCGGTGGGATATTGAATCCTATACGTTCTAGAACTGCAAAGGCCTCCTCTAATTCCTTCCAGTGCTCTTCTCCAGTAGGGGCCTGCTGTCAACTTGATATCATCATCCCAGCGTCTCTGTGGTCTACCTCTTTATCTTTTTGTTTCTCTTGGATACCATTCAGTTACACAAGTACTCCATTTTTCAGGTTTGCTTCGGATCATGTGCCTAGTCCATCTCCATTTTTGTTGGTCTATCTGTACAAGAATGTCTGTTAAGTTAGTTTTTGCTCTTATATCCTCACATCTGTGTCTATCTTTTCTGCTTATCCCTTAAATAACATATTTTAAATTGAGAGTTATTACTTTTTTTTTATTTAATAAATATAGGTTATGGGCGCCGGATATGAGGGTGAGGATCTCAGGGTTTTTGATGGTGTGATTTAAATGCCCTCTTATGGAAAGCTGTTTTATTTAGTAAAATACCCAAAACTTTATATCGACCAAATTACGTGTCTTAACTATACAACTTATCCTCTTGGTGCGGTTAACATATTTATAGAATAGCGAGCGGGCGGGCGCCCGTGAGTGCCCCGGATTGTTTGGCCTGTTCCTACAGTGGTGGCATGGTTATATATTTTAAATTAATATTTATTAAATAAAAACTGACTAAGTTATTTTGTATTGAACTTGATAGTGTTCTTCGTGGCTCGACAAAGGTTGTCGAGCCAAGAAGATAAACATATTTCGATTTAATAAAACAGATTCATCTTTACATAGTATAAAATAAAGTCGCAGCCACTGTCTATTTCCTTAGATCTTTTAAACAACGCAACAGATTTTAATGCAGTTTGTAACAATAGATAGAGTGCTGTGAGTGCTTATGTATTAAAATTTACAATTATTGATATTTTTGTTACGCGAAGTGCGAAGCCTTGGCGGGCCGCTATAAAGTATAAAACAATTTCGCTTCCCGTTGTCTGTCAGTACCTAATTACGTCGATTTTGATGCGTTTTTTTATAGTTAGAATAGATAGACTCAAGAGGAAGGTTTAGGCTATATAACATCCCACTACTGAGCAAGGATCTTTAATCGTTCGATAACCTATAATCCACGCTGGTGAAAAGCCTTGTAATACAACTAATAAATGAATGTATTTGCAGATTTCCCCGAGAAATGTCAGAATACACAATGCTACTCCATCATCCAGAGCCGAAGAACAGTGACCGGGCGCGCATCATGTACGAGAACAAGCAGCACATCAGCGAGGACGGACTCAACTCTGTGATGTACGAGTCCGTGCAGGTGAAGCCGCAGCGGCTGTTCACGTTGATCCAGGTCAAGTTATGATATGTCATATCAGAGTGGTAGCCAATGGTCGATGGATTTTAAATGGTAACTAACTTGAAGGTATTCAAACAATAAGGTTCTTCTACAGTACAGTATGCTCTATAACATAATGTGAATTATTTAATGAGGGAAATAATAATATTAATAGCCCTGGAACTAATAACCCAGTCGCAAACTAAGTACCGGTTTTGTTATGAAGCTGATATCAAGACTACACATCGCGCCATGTAGTCCCAAATGGAGTTGAAGTTATGTTATGGCTAAATAACTGATAATAATATATGTTTTTTGTGAATACATACAAAATATACATAGACTAGCTTTTGCCTGCGGCTTCGCTCGCGTTAATTTATCCCCTTAGGGGAGGAATTTATCAAAATCCTTTCTTAGGGGATGCCTACGTCATAGTAGCTTTATGCATGCAAAGTGTCAGCCCCATGGGTTTAAAATTGACAAAGATTCATACAATTTTTCTACCCCTATTTTATCCCCTTGGGGGTAGAATTAATCAAAATCCTTTCTTAGTGGATGCCTACGTCTAACATCATAACATCTTCATGCATGCCAAATTTCGATCCCGATCGAAAGCCGGATCCGTCCAGTGGTTTAGGCTGTGTGTTGATAGATCACTATGTCAGTCACCTTTGAGTTATATATATTTAGATGTATACAGATATTCTTTCCTGTAGGTAGTCAATCAATTAAATCTTAAAACATCTTCAGATCTTGTTTAATTGGATTTTCAGTGGTTATGAGCTACCCTGTATGACCGCTGTGAGACAAGGCAGAGGTGTGAACGCCAAGGTTTAACACATTTACAGACTCGGTGGCATTGTGGTTTAGCTCATTGCTTTAGTTCCATTCGTCTCAGGATCTATTCCTCGCACGGTACATACATTCATATTCATGAATATGATTGTTTGTATCGGTCTAGGTTGCTTTCTATTTATATTATGTATCTATTTACAAAAAATGTATTGATATATTTTTATCAGTTATCTAGTATTCATAACACAAGCTCTTGGGACTAGATGTGCTGTGTGAATTATCCAGGGTTATTAAACCTAATAAACTATAATAATAGTAAATTTTGTGTACAGTTTGCAAATAGTGTGAACAAAACCTAGGAAGTAAAACTTTAACTGTAACTTTTGGGTAAAATTGTTAGTCAATATAGTTAGATACTATTAAATCCTAAAACGTCGTTCTAATTGTAGAATGCAGAAGATGGCTATGAGGCTAAGTTAGTGAACCCCACGTGGTCCAAGTCTAACATTCGTAAAAGTTTCTAGAAGGATCACGTGGACTTACTAGTCCTCATTCCTAATCATCTTCTCCCCTTATATATGGGTGATTCGTTATCTCCCGTTGGTCCACTTTATTGGTTTCAATTGGTCACTTATTGGGTCTAGCTGGAGCCAACACATCAAGAGTGGACTGGGCTCATATATCTCGAAAGGTTGACCCACTTTGTTGTTTTAATTGGTCAGTTATTGGGTCTAGCTGGAGCCAACACATCAATAGTGGACTGGACTTGTATATTTCAGAAGGTTAGTCCATTTTGTTGGTTTCAATTGGGTCTGGCTGGAGCCAACACACCAAAAGTGGACTGGACTTGTATATCTCAGAAGGTTAGTCCATTTTGTTGGTTTCAATTGGGTCTGGCTGTAGCCAACTCATAAAGAGTGGACTAGACTTGTATATCTCTGAAGTTTGGTCCTCTTTGTTGGTTTGAATTGGCCATTTATTGGGTCTAGAGGAAGCTAACACATCAATAGTGGACTGGGCTTGTATATCTCAAAAGTTTGGTCCACTGATTGGTTACAATTGGCCAGTTATTAGGACTATGTGGAATCCACACAAGTGGACTTGCATTTGTCAGAAGGTTGGTGTTGTTTTAATGGGTTCCTTATTGGGTCTAGCTGGCGCCAATACACCAAGAGTGGACTGGGCTTGTCTAAATTTTAAAATGGGTGTGGTTTAGTCAACGCAACAATATTAGACTGCTTTTATTGTATTATGTATAACTGTAATACATAGAACATTTAAGTACTGACATATTTTCAGCGTTTAGAACTTAAGTACTTATACTTATATTTTAAGTTTCTGGGTAGCAAAAACTTATTTTTTTAATTAGATTCTTTCGAATTGGGTTCTTATGATTAATAATATATTTAATGTCAAATTTCTGGTTCGCGCTTCTTAACTGGACTTTGGTTTAGGTAAAATTATTTTCTTTGATATAAATTAATTTTTATATACCACATACTACAATGAAGTTTTCATATGTAAAAACGTAGATATTCATTTAGGGGATCTGTTTCACTCGAATCGTATATATAACGTACTGTATTTTATAACGCAGTGGAAGCTTACTGGGCCCATAACCTACAATAGGTTTTTTATTTTATAATAGAACAGCAGCAATTTACAAATATAATTTATTAATTAGAAAAATACATGTGTCGCAGCAAGTGTGGCACAGAGCAGAATATCCAAGAGAGACGGAACAGAGTAGGTTGATGTTTAGACAACATAACGTGAAGCAACTATATATGCAATACCGTCTTTACCATAAGGGCACACGAAGCCCGTGCCTAGGGCCCCCATTCTCAGGGGCCCCCCGAAGGACTCATTTATTCTCAAAAGATTTTTGTCGGGCACACAAAATTTTTCCACAAATGTTATCAGAAGGTATTTACAACGCATATACTACGCCATTATACCAATTACTTCGCCTATTCCTATGTTCTTACCTAATGAGTTTTTTTTACTTTCCAAAAGGGCCCTGAATTCTTATGTGCCCAAGGGCCCCAGCCTAGTTTAAGACGGCGTTGTATATATGTATAGTCATGACCATGTTTTGTTAGATGTGTATCTATTTGATATTAACTAAACATAATGAAATAAAGTAGCTAGTATATTTTATAGTACTTTACTCTCTATACCCAATATTAACCATTAATTAGTACAATTATTTATACATTAACCTTTCGAATGTCTGTCGTCTAGGCAGCGACCGAAAATGGAGAAGCGGTAAAGCGCGCGCCAGCTGATTTTTTCAAATCCGTTTCGATCTTATAATGATAAAAAATTGAAATAATACCAATTCAGTTTATATTAATGGACTAAGCAATATTTTTTTTTATATATATTTTATTGTTTCTATTTATAAACTTTAATGTTTAATTTTGGCAATGTTATATTATTATTTAATAAATTATTGTTCGTTAGTAGTATTTCAGGTTGTTGTAAAAGCTTATTAGTTAGAAACGTAGTAAATATGCAATGGATTATGTACTTAATGTGGTTATAATGAAACAGCCTATAAGGCTAATGTATCTAGATATAAGAGTGTAACGTCCTGTATTGCAAATGCACAAGTTTAAAATCAGCTGTTAATTTTTTGCAACAATTCTTAACACGTTAAAGGCCATGTAGGTCACCGGTGAGCTCATAATGTCTGGATGTTTGCGCCGCGTAGGTCACCCGTGAGCTCACTTTAGAGCTGTGTTGAGCGCCGGCGCGTGATGTTTTCATACATTTGTAGTATATAGTAGTACAGTATATTGACCGGAGCGGCGCTCAACAACAGTACTCGGTCAATACTAAATGTGTTTTTTGTCCCACAGCGCCGCGGTGGTCTCTGCTCAACGAAATGTATTCTTTATTTTTCGGGATAATTTCAATCCCAAATTAAAAAATAAATACGTTTTAATGTTTACAGATGTCATAAAAAGATTTTTTTACAAAATAATTTATTTTTGGCATTTTTACAATGGCGTTTAACGTGTTAAGTCAACAAAATCATTCGCAACATGAACACACTCTGTAACTGTGTACATTGAACTGTACTTTTGAATCTGTGTATATAACATTATTTTAAAGATGTATTAATATTATACTTATAACCTGCAACCTACAAACTACCTACCAATAAAAGTCCCGTCAAAATCGGTCAAAAAATGTTATTTCGGTGTATGTACCGTATTTATATCCATATGCATGTAGTAAAAAACTGTTATTTCAATATTACAAACAGACACTCCAATTTCATTTATATGTATAGATAACACTTTCTGTATGTATACAAGTTATATTATAAAAAAGCACAAATGTGTATGGTGCAAGTAACTGGACGTGCGTAATAAAATTATTTAATTGAATGTGTTTGTTTGATGTCGAGGTGCTCCATCTCTCCCCAACTGCGTCCGGCTGACAGCGCCACCGGTAGTCTAACCGCCAAGCCACACTCGAAACCACAATTTTCCATGGCATCTTTTATAATACCTAAATATGTTACAAAAATACAGGGTTAAAGCTGAAGGATAAAATAGTATATATATCTTCGGTTAAATAGAAAAATGACAGTATTCAAAATGCAATTTTTTTACAAGTTTTTAAATTTATTTAAAATGTTTTTGCATTTACACAGAAGTGTTATATATCATTTTAAAAGTATTTAGATAATGATTATGACGGCGTGGTTAATTTAATTGACTTATATAAAAGAAGGCAATTCTAGTTTCTAATTTTGAAAAATGACATTTTTCTATTTAATCAACGATATATTATTTTATCTTTTAGCCAATATTTACCTGTTATTATTATTTAAAGTATAAAATAAATAAATAACCCTGGACAATTCACACAGCGCAATCTAGACCCAAGTTAAGCTAGCTAAAGCTTGTGTTATGAGTACTAGATAACTGATACAAATACATAGATTTTGATACATACATACATATTATATATAGAAAACACCCAGACAGATACAAACAATCATACTCATGAAGACAAATGTTTGTGCCATGCAAGGAATCGAACCCACGACCATTGGAAGTAAAACGGTGTCCTTTACCACTAGACTACCGAGGACGTCAAGCATACTTTTGAACAATAATAACACTGGTAACTGATAATAATGTTTCTGTAGAAAAACTTAAAATCCATAGCGCTGACAATATTATCAGATTGCACAATGAATGAGTGCGTAGCGGTTTCTATGTTGATTATCGTATGCCTCTGACTTGTTGCTTGAAAGAAACAATACGCAAGTTTCCTGCTCTTTCTTGTGATGAGTCTACGTTCCGAATGAGTGGTAGAATAAAAAATATAACTTCAAAAGTGGTTATATTAAGTTGATTTGAATAAAGATTATCTCTACTATACAATTCACAGCCCCATCTAGTCGTAAATTAACAAAGCATTTTTTTTAAATACATAGAAAATTCATATATATAATACATGTACACCATGCGAAGCCGGGGCGAGTAGCTAGTCATTTATACATCATAGCATCCAGATTGGATCACAGCAGACTCATACAGAAGAACTGACAAGAAACTCGGCTCTTCAAATTAGATCCATTACGAGCAGGTGTTGAAGAAGATATTACTAAATACTGACCGGCGGCTGCGTGCAGTTGCTGGTGGGGCACCTCCCACACCAGCTCGTCGTGGATCTGCAGCAGCAGATGAGCATCCACCGGTGGCCTGGTACTGCCCAGCCGCTCTGAAGACACTATCATCGCTGTTTTACATATGTCTGCCGCTGAACCTGAAGCCAGTCATCACCTGTATTATAGGTTGATAACCGAGATAAACTTTGTACGAATAGTCCGCGAGCCAGAGGCTTTTCTTTTCATCAATTCCTCCCGATTGAAACTTCTAAGATGGCTAATAAAGTTGTATTATGAAGTTTAATGAAAGTCGACTGTGGTTCTGAATGAGAGTTAAAAAGTAGCACTTTCGCAAATATGTAAAAAACTGTAATTTCCTGCCAGCTCTAATCGTGATTAAACCTATCTAGAATATAAAAATGAATCGCTAAATGTAATGGTAAGCGCTAATCTCGAGAACTACTGAACCGATTTCGATAATTCTTTTTTTAGAATATTCTTTGAAGTACGAGGATGGTTCTTACGGAGAGAAAATTTAAAAAATTGCCTAAAAACAACACTTTTCTGTAATCCCATACAAAATACCATACCATAAAGTTCAAATGTTAGTGGAGAGGTTCCGGGAAGAATCCCATACAAATGATACAAACTACCAACCAGTACTAATTTTTTGGGTCAAATATAAATATACAATAAGATTAAATCAGTCGTAGTGATAAGAGCAGACCAGTCCCTACAAGCAGCACTCGTTCACGAGTATGACGGATAAGTCCATTTCAGTTTTTCAGTAAGTTTTGGACCGGTAGAAAATTGGTCACCTTGACTGGATCCTGGCTTGCGGGCCATAAGCATGACCAGGAAGTTGAAGGCCTGCCTCTCGGCGTGGGCCCGCAGCGCAGCCCCCTCTCCTCGAGTACGTACCTTGCACCAGGAAGTTCACGGACTGCCTCTCGGCGTGAGCCCGCAACGCAGCCCCGCTCCTAGAGTACGTACCTTGCACCAGGAAGTTGAAAGCCAGCCTCTTGGCGTGGTCCCGCAGCGCAGCCCCGCTCCTAGAGTACGTACCTTGCACCAGGAAGTTGAAAGCCAGCCTCTTGGCGTGGTCCCGCAGCGCAGCCCCCTCTCCTCGAGTACGTACCTTGCACCAGGAAGTTCACGGACTGCCTCTCGGCGTGGGCCCGCAACGCAGCCCCGCTCCTAGAGTACGTACCTTGCACCAGGAAGTTGAAAGCCAGCCTCTTGGCGTGGTCCCGCAGCGCAGCCCCCTCTCCTCGAGTACGTACCTTGCACCAGGAAGTTCACGGACTGCCTCTCGGCGTGGGCCCGCAACGCAGCCCCGCTCCTAGAGTACGTACCTTGCACCAGGAAGTTGAAAGCCAGCCTCTTGGCGTGGTCCCGCAGCGCAGCCCCCTCTCCTCGAGTACGTACCTTGCACCAGGAAGTTCACGGACTGCCTCTCGGCGTGGGCCCGCAACGCAGCCCCGCTCCTAGAGTACGTACCTTGCACCAGGAAGTTGAAAGCCTGCCTCTCAGCGTGGGCCCGCAGCGCAGCCCCCTCTTCTCGAGTGCGTACCTTGCACCAGGAAGTTCACGGCCTGCCTCTCGGCGTGGGCCCGCAGCGCAGCCCCCTCTCCTAGAGTACGTACCTTGCACCAGGAAGTTGACGGCCTGCCTCTCGGCGTGGGCCCGCAGCGCAGCCCCCGCTCCTGGTGCGAGCCCCGGAAGTGTCCTCCGCCGGCCGCTGGCGGCCACCACACGGCCACCCCGCGCCTCACACTCTTGCACCACGCCGCGGCCGAAGGACTTTAGCGACGGAAACCTTCCTAATAATATGTAATATTATATTATCTGTGCTAATATTTAAGAATACGAGCTGAGTTTCTTGTCAGCTCTTCTCATCTCGAAATCTTTTCGAACTGACGGTAGATTTGACATCATAAGAGTCTGTAATAGATCTACATTATAATTATTATTATATTTATATGTATGAACTATGAAGGTATCCGCAGAATACCAGCATCGTGGCACACCGTCCCCACATATGCTGAGCGGAGACCTATTTATCCATTAATCCAGTATGCAATAAAAAAAAATTGTTATTGTTATTTATTTATTTATTAAAACTTTAATGCACAAATACAAAAAAATAAAGGTGCAAATAGCGGACTTAACACCACAAGACATTTTCTCCCAGTCGACCATGAGGTAAACAGAGATTAGTGGGCGGTGCATTATTAAGAAAATAACATGAAAATAAATACAAGTAAGTAGGAATAAATAAAGTAAATATATATATATATATATCCAACTACATACATACTAAAAAAAAACAACAATGAATAGTCCGGTAAAAGCAAGAGATCATTTTGACAATTTTCCATAAATTAGTGTCGTATTATTAACCGATGTCCGTGGAAAGATGTTTACGTACTTTGGATTTCAAGGTAAATTTGGTTATTTTATGTGTATTAAATAAACTTATTGTCTTTCTTTTCTTTACAAATAGTAATGGTATAGTTACTGTTGAAGCTGGTGATGATAGTGAGCGCGTGGTCGTAAGTGAGGTGCAGTATGTCCATGAGCGTGGTGGTACCAGCGCCGTACACGCTCGCATACACCATACGCTTGGTTCGCTCGCGATCCTCCGCACACACCTCTCGCTCGCACTTGTTCAACCTCACACACACAAATAAAATAGAATAGAAAATAAAACGAGAGAAGAGGTGGATGTGTGGAGTGACAAGAATGGACAAGATAAAGAATGAATACATCAGAGGAAGTATGAAATTGGCACCGATGTCGGAGAGGTTGAAGAGTAATCGTCTATCATGGTAGGGACATGTAATGCGTAGGAATGAGGATAATATTTTAAGAAAGATGTTACATATGAATGTGGATGGTTATAAGGGCAGAGGAAGGCCGAAAAAGAGATGGATGGACTGTGTGAAAGATGATATGGTAAGAAAGGAAGTAAATAACGAGATGACTGCGAACAAAGATGAATGAAAGCGAAAAACATATTACGACAACCACAAATAAATGGGATAAGGAAGAAGCAGATGATGAGAAAAAGAACATTTTTTTTAATAATTTTCATATAAGCACTTTTTGGGGAGAGGATTTTTAGTTTTAGTAGACCTCCGCGAGGAACCGCATGGAGAACTACCCATTGAGGTGGAAACCTTAGTGTGAAAT